AATTTCTTTTTTGTGATTCTTTGTGTGAGAGAGTATAAGTTTGAGTTGTGTTTATTAAAATAGTTTGAAATAATGTTAATTATTAACAATCTTTCAAGTAATAAAATTTGTGTGAATATTTTGAATGATAACCTTAATGCTCAGTAACTCAGGATGAACTGTCATTTATGAACTCGTTAAACCTTTGTGAAGTAATACCTTCTCAATGCAAGCAGCTTATAGGCTTGCAAAATAGGAAATTGCATCCTTCAAGAGCATATACATTCCTGAGCTCTTTTCCACCTGCTGAACAAACCTCTTTGCAAGGAGAAAGACCCAAAGACAACACAACCAGAATCTCTGCAAAAGTCTCACATAGGGGGTCTTACACATGCAAAATTAACAGGTAGTTAACAGATAGTTTTCCATCCTCCTCCAATGAAGAAGAGAAGTCCAGTGGACTACTGAATATCACTCAACCAATCAGCAAATTTTGATGCAAAAATATAAAAAACAAACCAAAGCACAGTACTTTTCACCAAAGCAACAATTCCTTCTTCCTCATTGTTGAGGAAGTCAGAGCCAAAGAGCCTTTGACATAGACCCTTTCTCAGTCATCCTTCCTCCTCCTATAAGGATGATGCTCTTCTTCTGTCCTGTCAACACTTGTACAGCCACATCAAAGCCTACCTGCTCCCTCCCTTCAGGCATCCCACACCAGCCCAGATTGTATTTCTTTGTCTCAGTTTCCTACCTTTGTGTGATGTGTTTACCTATCTCCCAGAGATGTAGTGAAGCTAAGTTTTTGTTGCACACTGTGAACAGCCAGTGTCATCTCTGCAGGATTACTTCCAGTTATCTGAATGTACCACTTCTACTTTCCAGTATCTTGACACTGGCTTCCTCAAAAACCATCTTGGTGTAAGCCCTCTGAGCTGCCAGTGGGCTCATACAGAATCACAGAACTGATCTCCTCACAGAATTCATCTCCTGCTTCTTAATGATGTTAAGCTTCCCAGTGACCACTGTCACCTTGGGAGAAGTGCTCTATTAGTTTAAACCATCTTCTATTGAAAGGAAGCAGCAGAAAAGCCTATGTAATTAGTAAACAGACAAGGATGCTTACAAACATGAACTTAGGATCAGTGTTACCTCTAGTATCTGTTGCCTAATTACATATAGATCACTGCTCCTCCCAAGAATTGCTTGCTGTCTACCTGTACTTTTGTACTGATTTCAAATGCTTATTGCTTGACCTTGCCACTGCCTATGATGGGACAGTGCCCCAGTACCACAATAAGAGATCCTCAGCAGGAGTATCAGCCCACTTGCTCTTCCAAAAATTGTTAACTGGCATGGTTTTGCCGTACACAAGAGATATAAAACTGGGGAAAAAGCAGTGCAACATTCAGGAGGAACACAGATGAACAGACTCATGATGCTATTTATCCCTTATCTAACATGTTGCAGAGACATGCCTGTTGCTCTCTGCAAATATAAAAGGTCCCAAATAACTCAATTTGGGCACAAAGGCAGTCTGTAGCTTTTGCTTGCCTGCTGAGCTGATGTGTGATGGGAATTAGTTTTATTGTCTTCACATGTCTGAGATAAACGCAGAGCCTCACTGCCTTACAACTTGTCATGGTTTTGTGATTTTTGTTGTCGATATTCTACATGATAACATCATGTGAAGCAGTTAAAGAGTTAATGGTCCGGTTCTGTGGACTGCCTTTTTTAGGCATTTTGGTTCTCAGAGGGCAGGGGAGGAGCGGCATTCCGCAGAGGAGGAAAGATGGAGCTCTCGGCGAGGCTTCAGCCCGCCTCCCTCTCGCTACGGAGAAAAGCACGTGGTTCTCCTGCAGTCTACTTCAGTAAATTACCGTCCCTCCTCAGATCGTAGCTTTTTTTTTTTTTTTTTTTTTTTTTTTTTTTTTAAGACCCATCTACTGTCCGCCTACTCCTCACCCCCCGATTTCCCGGCTCTCCCGAGGCGCCGGCCGCGAGTCACTCAGTACTCCCGGGGCCAGGCCGGATAGGCACCAACGGTTAACACTTTTTTTCCCCTTCTCCTCTCCTGTGTTCCCCCCCCCTTCGGGCCCGTGCCCCCTGTCACAGATCTAGAGATAACTCCGTGAGGTAAGCATACTCTGGCATCCTTATTTACAGCTAAACACAGCATCCAGATTTCTTAGGCAAATCCCCACTGCATTCTGAACCAGAATCAAGTAACAGAAATAATTCTGTGTTAACAAGATAGAAGCCAGTGTAACCATTTTTTAGATGTACATGGCATTTTTTTTTTGTTCACATTCCACAAGACCACAACTTTCCTAAAGCTGACATTCACTGAAAATATTCTTATTTACTCTGCAAAAGGTTGCATGTATGTTGGAAACTCCTCATACAAAAAAGAAAAGTCTGGACAAAGCCTACTTGCCACCAGCAGTCTAAATAAAAATCATAAACCAAGAATGAAATTAATTCCCTTTGTTCTAACACAGCCCTTCTGCATTATTTTAACTCATAGTGTTATCCTGCATGACATGAAGAAAACAAATAACTGAGTGTTACAGAAATGGTATGCTTCGCAGGAATATGTTATACAAGTTATAACGAATATACTTTGCAAGAGCTTCTGAGGGCAGGAGGACATACCCGCTTGTCACCACGGTCATGTCCTTATCATACACACTGCCACATCAGATGTCAGATCTCTCATGCATGCAATTGCACTGTAGATCTGCTTAAACCATACCATCAGAGAGAAGGATTAATTATCTATCGGATGAGCACAGTGATCCTTTGCAGCAACAGCCCGTACTTACAGTGGATTAAATGTAGCATGAACCTGTACTTCAAATAGGCTGGAAAATAAATTGCCTGTGTGAGCTATTTTTTCTGCTTTGCTTGCTGGAAGCCTATTTTAAAGCTATGTATTTGTGCACATTTTAATCTCTTCCAAAAGAGGGCACTGCTAGCTTTTCTTCCACACCTTCCAACAACAGGACCCAGGCAGAACTTTGCAGGCTTAGCTTCGTCGCCAGCCTCAACGGCTGCACGTGTTTTTTGCATCTCCCCAACGGGCTGTCCGTAGAGAACAGTGTGGTCTGGCCCTGGAGGACTTGGCACCCCTAAAAGAGCTGAAGAGCTGTCCCTCTGGCATTTCTGGCCTACCCAGAGAAGCTGGGCCTAGTACAGCTTGGTCTTCACTGGCAGCAGCAGAGGTTGTTGTGTTTATTATCCACCACCACAAAACACACACAAGTTATCTGCTTTTGATGATTTAGCAATTAGGCAGAAAGTAATACAGCCAGCTATGATCCCTATTAACTGTACACTGGTTAAGAGCGCCAGTAGAAGCACAGCTAAATAAAGGCTATTCTTGCCTTACAAACAGCTATCTCCACTGTCATCATAGCTCACACCTAAGAAGAACAGGAGTCACTGAAGTCTTACATAATCTTGTTACAATTGGAAAAATTCACAGAGTGGAATGGTGATAGAGGAGCGTAGCAGTAAAGGAACTAGAGCAGATGGAATGGTGTTACAAAGGAAAAATGCTCACCTGTCTCCAAAGATCTAGGCTCTCAGGAAAGACTTCACAAAGAACAGATCACCAACCACAGACCCTCACATGTCACAGTCAGCCCTTAAATGGAGTCTAAGAGAGGTGAAACCAGGCTCCGCCCCTTCCTATCACACAGCTGAATTGCCTTCACCTGTGCTCCCAGGGCTGACTGGGTCCTTTCCCTGGTTCTCCATCAGTGGTTCAGGCCATGACTCAACAGTTCCCATACAAATCCATACATCTATGCCCAAAAGGAAGAAATGAGAAAGAAATGTAAAGTGTAAATCAGCCCACACAGTACTGGAGACAGAAGACAAACACTGCTATTTCTGAGCTGGTTCAGTTTCACAGGACAACGGTCTCTGGTGTTAACATGTGCATTAAATGATACTTCTCTCTTCAGAAAGAAAAGAGGTTTTAAAGCAAAAGGCTTTCTGAAATAAAAGCTCTGATGTGAAACACCTCACATATAGTACTTATTTGAGAGATTTCAGTTCCCAACAAACAATTTAAAGCACCACCCGATCTCTAACTTCATTTCCTCTTTCAATTAAAGAGCAGCAATGTCCTCCATTTTGAATTTGCAGTCTCGGTGTATGCACCTTCAGTTAGGCTCCTAGTGAGCCACCTCAACTCACAGAGTGGAGTTCTGTACACCTCACAAAACATCCTGTGCAGGACACGTCTCTTGGTGCCTGCTGGCCCAGTAGCACCTCTCCTCGGGGTCTGCCGTGGGTCTACCTCAAGTGGGTGCCAACATGTGCTGTGCAACTTCAGAGAAACTGTGCAGATGGATTAGTAAGCACCTGCTTTGATGCCACATGGAAAAAACGCTCTCTAAAGCTAACATCCTGGTTTGAGCAATGTGGCTGCTACCTGTATGAAATAGGGAGCCCAGCCACACAGCCCTGAGCAGGAGGTGGCCTTGGATGAGCTCTGCCATCTTCACAGCACAGTGCACGCATAAGTCTGTCATAGACGCTGTGGTAGAGACTCTGTAGCCATGGCTCTTATTGGCTGTCCTGGAAATTTCTTACAGGATTTGGTGTAATTGTTGCAAGTTTGGATGAGATCCCTAAAGGCTCACTTTGCTCTTTCCCTGCTTGAGTTTGGGAATAGTGAAATGTGATCTCTGATCAGTGCTGATGAGAATAATGATGGAAGGATGTGACAGAGACTTGCCTTCCTCTCCTTAGATAGCAGTTTTCTGTCTTACCTTAACCAGGGAGATAAGGGAATTAGAAAATACTACTAATTAGGGAATAAGTAGGGAAACACAACAGCTGTGTTTCTTTGGCTGTCTTACCCTTTTGCTCCTTTTGTCACTTTTTATGCTTCAGGCTTTTGAATTGAGGTCAGTGGAATTTCTAAATGTTTATTCTTCTCAAACATCCATACATTTCTATACCCACCTCATTCTTGATTTTTAATTTCCTCTCTTCTAGTGCTTCAGCAGGGGGATTTTTCCCCACCAGTGTCTCCACCTCTTTGGGTAATGCTGTGCCTTTGTTTTTCTATCTGTGAAGTATAGAGAAGAGTATTCCTGCCCAGTGAAGAAGACTTTTGAATCTTCACAGAGGAGGTGAATGGACATCTATCTCAGTTTCCTTTTCAAGTTTAAAATAGTAATACTAATTTATGCAGAATCTTAATAGAGCACTGAAAAAGAAAAAAAAAAAAAAAAAGCCTCCAAGCAGCAGATTTACTTAATTACTTTTATTAAAATAAAAATATCATGCATTAATACACATTAGACATTTCTGAGAACCAGTAATATTAAGACTACATAAGTTCTGCATAAAGTAAGTTGAGCTGGTAAAACATGCAGCCTATGTGTTGGAAGGGACTGGATGGAAAGATGAAAATGAGAAAGGTGCTGTAGTGTTTTTTTTTGTTTTTTTTGTTTTTTTGTTTGTTTTTTTTTTTTCCTCTGTACAAAATTAATCTCTTGAGAGAAAAAAGGATTTAGTTTACTAATGATGATATCAGGGACTTATCCAGGCTGAGTGTGCACTGTCAATTCTAGATCCTCTCTACTGTACTGTACACCCAATGTATTTTGCTGCGCTATATCACAGATCCTGCAATTCTTTTTATTTTTGTCTACTGCCTGTTCCACCACTTGGATAATTAAATACCAGTACTTGGGGAACCTTGAGGCTTTATTTCATTTGCTTTGATAACAGAATTTATCCTTTTTGCTAGAATAGTACAATAATATAACTTTTTCATGTGTGTGACTCTGATTGAAACTTTTGACTTTCCTTTCCATGGAGTTGTGCTGTGTTGCTGTTGCATAACTCATGATTATGAAATTCAGAGATGTTCATTAGTATAGCTTTATATGCCAAATGCCACGTGGATGAGAATCTGAGGGCTTGCTTTGACTGTCCTTCTGCTTTTGCCATAAAACTGAAGTGAGAACCTGCCATGTATTTTGAAAGAGCAGCTTTTCTTAACGCCCTGATAAGCAGCACCATGTCTTTTATATTACAATTCCAACGGTCGTAATTGTTAGCTGGATTTTTACTCACGTTATGAACTCCTGCACTATCAGTAGAGAGAGCCAAAGATTACTGAAGAGAGCAAAAGGTTCTGTTATTAGCTTCACTAAGCACTGGATAAATCCCCTAGGTGACTGCTCTTACAAAAATCTAAGTCCACCAAAAAAAATCCCTAGTGTGATTTCTTCTCTGGCTACAAACGCTGCAAGCTAGCCACTGATTTTTCTTCCCCCCAAATACAACAGTATATCACAACAAAAGTTCTCAACAAATTAAAAACAAACAAAAAGAATAATATACACCTCATTTTTCTCGCTCAATATACAAACAATCTTTGATCAACAGTATAAACCATTAAACCGTATAAAAGTCAAGAGTTTCTTATTGTACAAATAGTGCTTTCATAGTTGAGTAACTTTACAATGCAAAGGTACCATCTGTATCTATGGATATATTGCTTGATAGTTCATTAAAACAACGACATTACTCCTTATATTCAATTGATTGCATCAGTACAAAGCAGCCTAAAATGGGGCAATAGATCCATAGGATCTCTGGTTATCAAAATCATGCAACGTTAGCCTTGTTTTATACTCTGATTGAAATCAAGTTTAACATCCCATTAATTTCAAGGGGAACAGAATTAGGAATGTAGGATTAAAAGGAAACTTAGGTATGTAAGCCAACCCTCCTATCAAAGTAGACAACTATTTCACATGTCCCTATCATTAAATATAAGGATAGCATTGATGTTATTTGAAAATCCACAGTTTTCAGTTAGATTGTGAGAGGTTAGGAGTATGGTTTGGCTCAATTCCAAGAGCAACTGGAAATGATGTACCGTTCAGCTACATAAGAAAAAAAAAATCAGCAATTTGATAGGTTACAGGTGTGGTTTTGTGTTTAATTTTTTTCACCTTATTAATCAGAAAATTCATTACTTTAAGGAGAAAGATACAGAGAGACCACATTGCATCCAGACAGTCCCATGTGCAACAAAGCTGAAGCATGCAGGAGGACAAGAGCAAAGGTGATGGAACACCAGGCCTGAAACTTGCCGAAGGTATTTTGCCTGCTAACTTCGGTGATGCAATTAACATGTCTCTAGCCAGGTCCTCAGTTCTCTCTTTTTCTTCAGGAAACTTTTTTTTTCTAATGCTACTGAGGGTTTCCTTCTCCACTAACTGCAGTACAGCCTATTGCCTCCGCAGTCTCTTCTCCCAGTCTCATTTCGCTTCACATCTAAAAGAATGAGAAGTTTACGTACAGTACCTATTGCTAATGTGAATGAACCATGATTTTCAGTCCACTTGGCTTTGGTAACATGGGTGATCTGCAAATACACACACAGTGCCCAACTAGAGGGAATGTGCGACAGAAAGTAAATCCTATCATGGAAGTGTCATGATTTCAACTTCTCCACATAATTAAAGTAATGCATAACAAAAAGTGTTTTCATTTAAAAGTCTCACTGCCTGCCTACACACTTACTCACATAAAAGGCAGTTATCTAATCATGTCTCATCATTGTATTTTTTCCTAAATCTGAGCCAAAATATAATGTAGTTGTTTCTTTTTTTCTTTACTGTGTCCTTGTTTAGCTATTGCTTTGAATGGAAAATGAATCAAAATTGAGCAGAGGTTATAGATCTGTCCCTGAAGTGATATCTGGTTCTGATGTTTGGTTTGGTTTTCTATGGACAGGCCTCAGTGACTTGTGAAGCCCACCTGGTACAGTGATGCTTTGGCCAGTCCCAATGAAGGATGGAGATCAGCAGCTTTTACTTGTAATGAGATAGTGTGGAAGTGGTGATCAATACCCTATTTCTTTAAAGCAAGAAAACAAGACATTACATCTTTGGTCCTAATGCAGCATATTAAAAAAACTTCTTAAAAGTATCATATTTTTCTTTTGTATAAACTTTATTTTTCTATTATTTTTTAAAAAGTCTCCTTAAAAACTTGTATGTTGGAATAAAAAGATAAAAACTTACAAAAAGAACACTAGAAAATGGGATTCCGATATAGAAAATTGATTCAGTGGTGATAAAACATTACAAAGCATTCTTGCTAAGTGTTACATGCAGAGTTTGATGCTTCATCAGTATGTGGTTTTCATCAGGAGGGAGGACATTTTCATACTTTGTCCTGATTCAGACTACTTCTCCCAGAGAAGCACGGGCAGAAATAGAAGCTGGCATTCTGTAACTCCTCTCGAGAGGCAATCATACTAATAGAAGATGTTGGAACTCTGAATTTGAAAAATCACTGCTTGTCTGGAAATGCAAAGTTTCTCATTGGCACCCTGAAGCACCCCCAGACAGCCTGAGGACACCGCAGACACTGTGTGAGGGCACAGACGCTGCCACAGCCTCAGGTACTCCTCCAAGCCTCCTGAAGCACAGAGGCTGAGCCCTGTTTTTTGTACAGACAATCTCTCTAGAAATATAGAGACTTCTCTCCAAGGTGGATGCAGGGAGAGGAGCCATTTGTAGAGCTATTCCCACCCATGCCTGCAAGAACAACCCATTGCAAATTCAGCAGCTGTCTCAGATATGGATTGGCTGGCTGTGCCCTCAGCCTGGCACTACTCTCCTCTTCCTCTCAAGTAAACCCCAGGAGCATATTTTATAATGCATTATGTAGGAGAATTCCCAAGCCAATTTCCTTTGCAGCAGAAGAAAACAACCCAAGGCCCAAGTGAAATAAAGTGCACCACCACCGCGCACAGATTGCTGGAAAACATCAAAGTAACATGAAGATTCTTGATGTGACTTCTATTTTCATATCCAAGCATGTAGTGCTTAAATTATTATTTCAAATAGTTTGTCACTAACTGCTGCTTTACGATTAAGAGACACTAACTTGTGAGTGGTGTCATTTTGCCTTCCATGAGAAATACAGTGAAAACAGTTTTATTTTCTGGATTGTAAAGTGTCTGTTAGCTTTTATCAGTGGCTGTGGCCTGTTACATTACCCTGTTTGGCTGTATTTCTAAAATCAGTGTTTTATACCCACATATCCTGAGAGACAACGGCAGCGCTTTCAAGTTATTTTTGGGTGCTGATATATGTAAGCTGTCAAGATGCAGTGCCTTTGTTTTTTCTAGTATTTAGAAAATAAAATTCTACTATTTAGTATCATAAAAGTTGTAAGCCCACAACTTCTCTGTCCCATTCAATAGCCTGCATTTCGTACAACACTGCATCAGCAAGGTGCCTGTGAAAGTGCTGCCTGACCCAGTTTGGCTTTACCAGCACCTGTGGGGCTGCGTGCTGTTACATGGTCAGTGACCTGCAGTGGAAAGAAAACAACGACACAAAAAGCATTTCAGCTGCTTATTGATTATTTTTTCAGTGACAATTGTTGGGTACCTTGCTAATGCATGTTACCCAGAAGCACTACCCTGCGTAGCACCTGTGCCTCCAGCAACAACCATGCAGCTCCACAATCTCATTCACCCCAGTGCCACTGTATCTGCCCCTCAAGGCACTGGCCTTTTTCTTTTTTTTTTTAAATTTTGCTGGCTTTTTAATCATTGCTGAGCTGTCTATTTACAAATCATGGTTTAAAGGGTGCACATTTAGTGGAATTATTTCACAACACAGCTAATCCCACAAATCTGGAATCTTCCTGTACATTTTTATCAAGAGCTAAAGCCTTTTTCCTACTGTTCTCATTAAAAA